GAAAACCTGGGGTTTCAAAAGATCTAGCTTAGTATCTCCCATCTTTGTAGGTAGACTTGAGAATACTAAAGCAGGGTTATGGAGAAGAAGAACTTTTCAAATTCTCAGCGTTCAGAAACGTGTCATGGATTCCCATCTTATCTCTGCCACCCTCCTGTGGCTTTTTCTTCTGTACTTCTTCAGGAAGAGGAATAACAAGATGTCTAAGATTCCATACAGTAAATAGTTACCATATTACATTTAAATCAGAGATCAGAATTGCTGATACAATGTACTCCTTTGAATCATCACGTGACTGGTTATACTTCAATAAAGCTGAGTGCCTATAATAGAAGCAGGCTATGTACCCACAGAGCTGTGTGCTTTTGAAGGTCTGAAATGGTCCATAGGCACAAAGCCAAATCACTACAAAGAGCTATACAGGTCCTCTGCTGCTTCCCAGAAATTTCACTTTATGCCTACCACAATCTGACAGGCACAGAAGCATTTTCTGTGGCTTTGTCTAAAACTGCACAATGTTGCTACTTTGTCTATTAAGTGTTTCCAGCTCCACTAAATCAGAGATCTCCTCACAGGCAATAGCAATTACTGCAGTTAAAAAAAATAGAAAGAATGGGAAAGAAAACACATGATCTACAACTGCAATATCTAATATACTAACCATTGGACATCTGTGAGTATTTAATTTTACAATTAATTAAAACTGAAAATCCACTTCCTTAGTGGCACTAACTGAAAGGATCAAGGACCAAAGGTGGGCATAATGCTTACACTAACCATATTTCAAGCACTTGATAGCCACATTGGGCCACTGGCTACCATATTGGACAACACAGATTATATAGCACTTTCGTTACTTCAGGAAGCCGTATTGAATAACACTGAACTACTTTAATACAATCTTAAAAAGCAGACCATTGACCAGGCACTGGTGGCTGGTGCCCGTAATCCTAGCTACTTAGGAGGCTAGTGACTCACCCAAGTAGGCAAATGGAAGGGACTCTTTATATGTCTTTTTTTTTTCCAGGGCTGAGAACCCAACCCAGGGCCTTGCACTCGCCAGGCAGGCGCCCTTCCGCTGGGCTAAACCCCCAGCCCCTGGAAGGGACTCTTATCTTCAGTTAACCAGTAAAAAGCCAGAAGTGGAGATGTGACATAAGTGTTAGAGTGACAGCTGTGTGAAAAAGCCAAGGGAAAGTCTGAGGTTTTGAGTTTCTAGAAGAAAAAATTGCTGACCCTTGAATTTCTCATGAGACAAATTTCTAGAATTCCCCATTGCCATAAGTGTGCTATTAGACATTCCTCCATATAAAGCATGGAAGTACAATTACACAGTTTGACCCTTCACGCTCTATAAGAACACTTGATAGGTACATGACCATGAAGCTGGCCTGAACTGGGGCTGTTTTGAAGTTTATGAGGCTTATAAAACTTCTGAGCACAGACAACTCAGAAAAGCATACTGATGGGTCTTTAGTTACAGTTTCTCATGGATTATTGGACCTGAATTCTCATTCTGTTTTTGTTTTTGTTTTGTTGGTCGTGGGGCTTGAACTCTGGACCTGGGCACTGTCCTCAGCTCTTCAGCTCAAGGCTAGCACTCTATCACTTGAGCCACAGCGCCACTTCCGGTTTTTCTGGTGGTTTATTAGAGATAAGAGTTTCGTGATCTTTCCTGCTCAGGCCAGCTTTGAACTGTGATCCTCAGGTCTCAGCCTCCTGGGTAACTAGAATTACAAACATGAGGCACCAGTGCTCGGCTAGAGAGCTATATTTTAAATTTTTACATAGAAAATTGTGAGGTACAAACCACTCAATAGAAAGAGTGATTCTGCTAGGTACTGATGGCTCATACCTATAACTCCAACTACTCAGGAGGCTGAGACCCAGAGGACTGAAGTTCAAAGCCAATGCTAGCACAAATGTCTGGGAGACCTCATCTCCAGTAACTAGCAGAAAGCCAAGATGGAGGCCTGACTCAAGTGGTAGAATGCCAGTCATGAACAAGAAAGCAGACGCAGCATAAGGTCCTTATTTTAATCCTCTGTATCCACAAAAAATGATTCAATGTCTTATTTAATATTTTAATTATAGATACAACTTAAAGACTGTAAAGCAGAGGATTATTAGGGTGTAATAGATTAATCTTTAAGATCAATCACTAATCAATGAGCTCTTTTCCTCATCTTGATCTCAGCAGGACCTGTACCTTTGCGGCTTGCCTTTGGGGTAAGAGAAATCATCAGTATTCCTTCTTCAAGGAATATAATACCTTGCCTATGTCCCCCTCACTACAGACAAAAGAAAAGGAATGTGGATTCATTGCGAGATTGGCAGTTCAAAACTACTGATTTTCTTTGCCTAGTTATAATGAAACTGTCAAAACAATTCTTATCTTCATTATTCAGCCATAGAAGAATGGTGTTTTGTCTCATAAATATTTTTTTTAACCAGTCCTAGGGCCTGGGCGCTGTCTCTGGGCTCTTCAGCTCAAGGTTAGTGCTCTACCACTTGAGCCACAGCACCACTTCTGGCTTTTTCTGCTTATGTGGTGCTGAGAAATCGAACTCAAGGGCCTCATGCATGCAAGGCAAACACTCTACCACTGAGCCACCTTCCCAGCCCCACCTCATAAATCTTTGAACAAAGAAGTTGGACACATCTTGATTCAAAGGAGAAATCTGGTGGCATATATAAAGAGAGGATCAAAGATGAAGAATATGTATTAAATTGTCTTCATATTATCTTAGTAATGAAAGTACATTGTTATTTGAAATGATCTGGGGATAAATAATTGTATATATATATAAATTATGTGATATATAAATATAATTATATAATATATATTACATCATGATATCATATATACCATATTATCATATATAATATAATGCATATTATATATTACTTTGTCTTCATATACCTATCATATCAAAAAAAACCTCTGGATAATATGTAATTTGTGTGTGTGTATACTGTACGTAGGACTTCAAAGCAGGGCGTGGATGCTGTCCTTGAGCTTCTTTTGCTCAAAGCTAGGTCTCTACCACTTGAGCAACAGCTCTACTTCCACTCTTTTGGTAGTTTTTAGTGGAGATAAGAGTCCCAAAGACTTTCATGTCCAGACTGGCTTCAAACTGCAATCCTCAGGTCTCAGCCTCCTGAATAGCTAGGATTACAGGAGTGAATCACCACAGGGAATTACCAGTGCCTAGCAATATGCGGTTTATGAAAGACAAGTATAAGTTTGTGATGACTATAATTTCTAAATTCATACTATTAAAATAACTAATTAGTACTTTGAAAAGGAGTAGATACTCTTTCTAAGCCAATTAAAAGTAAGACTTTGGGGCTAATAAGACTCTCCTGTTTTCTTTCTGCCACATACCATTGTGATAAATAATCCAATATGACATTTTACTTAATAGTTTTTTGTTGGTCATTCTGTATGTGTCAATTACTTTGAAATTTGAAGATGTGAGCCACCTTTTAAATTTTTGCTACAAAAATTAATCAATTACTTGTTTGCTACCTTGATTTATACTAGTTGTATCTGTGAATAAATTAAAATCTGATATAATTTCATAGATCTTGCATTTTACAAAAGAGATTCTGGCTCCACAAAGACATTATCAAAACAAAAGACCTCATTTCAACAGATAAATATGTAATTTTTAAAGTAATTCCAAAGGACAACCTTAATTTATATTTCTAACCAATCCTTCCTAGTTAGGAAAATTGAGCTTTAGCCAAAAGAAAAAAAATGTACATGCATTCAAACATTTATATACACAAACTCACATAAACATAAGACTATGGTGGGAAAGATTGATATGCTCTTTCAAGTATTTTAATTTTGCTCCAAACAATAAAAAATGATAAAATTGATAATTGCCTTGATTTGATCAGCATATGGTATAAATATATGTTGAAACATCACATTATACCCCATAATAAATATACCCAAATAGTCCATGATTTAAAGGAAAATGGTCCTGTTTTTAAAATTGATTCTCATTTTAACAAGTCCCTTTGCCTGAAACGCTCTTTCTGCTCTGTCTCTGTTCAATTATTTTTTTTGGGGGGGGGGGTTCGGTCATGGGGCTTGAACTCTGGGCCTAGGCGGTCTCCCTTAGCTCTTCAGCTCAAGGCAAGTGCTCTACCACTTGACCCACAGCACCACTTCTGGTTTTCTAGTGGTTTATTGGAGATAAGAGTCTCACAAATTTTTTTGCCTAGGCTGGCTTTGAACCATGATCCTCAGATCTCAGCCTCCTGAGTAGCTAGGATTATAGGCGTGAGCTACCAGCGCCAGCTTGTCTCTATTCATTTTTGTCCTTCAGGTCTCAACTGGAGGCCATTCCTTCAGCCAGGACTTCATGACAATCCAATCTTTGTCACTCAACCCTCTTCAATATACCACCTACTATTTTGTTGTAACTATGATATCATTTATCTCAATTAATAATAACACATTTATTATTTGCTTTGGCACACTGTCTTTCCTACAAGAAAGATTTCTGTATTTATAGTAAGCATCCTGCACACTGATTGCCAGAGGTTGGAGCTCAACATCATATGTGCAATGAGTGAACAAAGCTACTCTTCTTTAAGCCTCTAGCAGCATCTTACTCTAGGTGAATTAAATCCTAAGAAGTTGTTTTTCTTCCACATAATAGTCATACCTCACTGTAGTTGTGCACATCTTTAAATTTGTTCCGTTAGAAAGAAAGTGGAGACTTCCTAATACTACCTCTTCATTCCCCTAGGATTTTCAAGATAATGGAAATTGTTACCCATTGTTACATCTGTCTACCTTGAAATCCAGGTAAATGAAAAAGTTCTGTTTAAAGAAAAATCTGCTCAATGAGAGACACTTGTGCAAAACAATACTACCTGACCAATCCCCTCCATCACCAAAGCTAGGAGTTTATGAACATCATGTTAGCTCCTCCTTACAGGAGGATGACCTGACTTAAAGGGGTGTAGAAACTTCTTACCTGGAGTCCTTTCTGACTCTTGCTTTCTCAAAGGAAAACTCTGGAGGTTTGTTGAGGTCATAGGTTCGGGTGGTCGGTTCAGCAGACACTCCAGCCTTTGCACCCCTCCTGCTGTGGAGAGAGACCAATCCTGAGGTCTTTCGGTGGATTTCCAGAGGCACTTTATCAGGAGAGGCCTGCACTGGACTCCCTCCTTGGATATGGACCACATCCTGTAGCTTGTTCAGCTGGATGCACTTGTTCTGCAGTTCCTCGGTGAGCTCAGCGATGGCCACTGTCTGCTTTGACAGCTGCTCCCGAAGCTCCTTCAAATGGTACTCCCTCTCCTGAATCTCAGCATCCTTCCTCCTCAGCTCTCTCTCCAGCTCTACCACCTTGTTCCTCAGAGCCTCCGTGCTGAGGCTCCCACAGTGGCCATCAGGATGTTTGGAGTGTTTGGGTTTCACTGAACCATTTCCCATGTTGCTCAGGGACCTGAAACAACAATAACAAAAAAAAAAGGATAAAGAATTGGGAATGACCAAGTAGAGTTCCATTTTTCCAAAGCACCTCCCACCCTTCTCATGCCATTCTGCTTCCTAAATACAAACATAGCAGTCCTCATCCCTTGGGGAGCAATAAATTCCCTCCATGGCTTTCAGAAGGCAAACTGGTCATCGATTTCCTTTCTCCCTCTGTTAAGTAAAGCTTAAATCTTGGTAATTCTGTTCCATCCCTGCCTGCGTTCAAGTATCACACCTAAGCATTTTGCACAACCGGCCCCAGTTACCTGCTGTTCTCTTTGGTTGTTCTCTCAGGATAGCTGTCAAAAGCATCACAGCAAGACTGGGATCTGGATGTCAGCATGGCAGAGACCAAATGCAAAAGAGCAGCTACAGCGACAGAGGCTTGGAAAATGTCACAACTCTCCCAGCTCCCTGTGTAGCTACAGTCAGGAAGCTTCCCCTGATTTAGAAAATAACACATCTGCATTTTTCCCAAAGTGGATGCAGAATTGGTGTTGCTTTATTGGTACTTTTCTCCTGCTTCCTGTACTATTGAACACAGAATCTCTGATAATGCTCATTATTAAAAACTACTGGATTGTGGTCCCCAAAAGCAAGTATGGTGACTTTTCAATAGCCTTTAGTTTAGGTGCTAAAAGCAGATCTCCATAAAATGGTGACTTATTGTGAAAGATTCTCTACTTCTATCAAGAATATCCTGGCTAAGTGCTAGTAGCTAACACATGTCATCCTAGCTACAGAGGCTGAGATCTAAAGATGACCATTCAAAGCCAGCCTGGGCAGGAAAGTCCATGAGACTCATATCTCCAATTAACCATCTAAAAAGTCCAGAAGTGGAGCTGTGACTCAAGTGGTAGAGTGCTAGCCTTGAACAAAATAGCTCCGGGACAATGCCCAGGCACTGAGTTTAAGCCCCAATACTGGCACACACAAACACACACAGACACACACACACACACACACACATTACAGAAGAATATTCTCATGTGGCTCCTAAAGTTATGGCCAATTTGATGGTTCTCTAGATATGATAGGAAGATTGAGGATTATGAAAGATAATTTGAGTTGATATCAATTTTTTTACTTCAAAGCTACATATTCAGCATTTATTTATACATATAAAAATGAACATCATAAAATATTGGTTTCCTGACATTCTAACTTCCGTGGAGACTAATTTAAGTGTTTAATTTGACTGAGTTAATTCAATGAAAATAAAAGTAAATAATATGCTGATAAACACATAAAAGCAAAATGTTGAAAGCAGAACTAGAAATTTGGCAAATATTGGTGTGATACACTATGATAATGTCTCAAGATTTTCTAGTTACCTATACTTTATGCCTTTGCCATAATACATGAAGCATTATAATACTTGGAAATGAGGCCTGAATGAGATGAAAGTTTGAATTTTCCATAATTTCCTGTCTTTCTCGCCCTCCAAATTTTAAGTTCAGGTAGAAATGAAGTACTCGGCTTTATTTCACTAGTCCTACCAGATTAATGGTAACCTCTGAACAAGCATAAATATAAGGATATACTCTAGCTTCTACAGTTCAAGCAGATAAAACCAATTTGCCAATGAGAATTGCTGAAGATAGATGATCTGAGCAAAATAATTAAATTCAGTTATGAATGTAATCTGAGAACTCTAGCATATCTCTTGTGGAGTTCAGTTCAAAGTAGTCATTAATAAACATTACCCCGAAGATAGTTGCCTTAGTATGTTACAGAAATATGACAAGATTAACCTTTAACTTCCTGTTCAGTAGAAATACATATTATCTTTAGATATGAACAATATATAAGAAGGTTGAGGAGATGGAATAAGTGATTTAAAGGATGTTAGAGTGAGGTTTGAGAATTAACTTGAATGAGATTTTAAATTAGTCATGCCAAGATGCTCCCGTAAGTATCTAAATTAACATATGCACAAATTTTTAACATGAAGCACTAAGCTAATTTCTAGACAGGATACTTAGTTCATAGAGAAGCATTTTTAGGCCACAGAGGGGTAGGAGGAGAAAGGAACTACCTTATAAAGAACAAAAGCAAGCAGAAACACATTTAAATTTAATATTACACTAACAACTCATCCTTTATTCATAGAACGGTTGTTTACTGAGATCTAACTACGTGTCATGTACTATATCCGGACATATCCTTTCACGGATTTGCAGGAGAACTTGACAGTGAGAACATTTCTAGCACCTTGAACATGGAAATTTTGTTCTGTGAATGACAAGAAAAAAATGCAGTGCCTATCCAATATTTTACAACCCAAAAGCATAATTATGTAGACGATATAAGTACAACCAAAATGCCACCTATTTTCTGGTTTTAATGAAGTCTGGTTTTAATGAAATCGTGCAAAGCTTTCGTGTTCTTTAGAATTTTAGAGATGGGTGGAAAGAGAGTAACAAACTCATTTTTCAAGTCACTAATTGAAGATGACTAAGCTGTGACGTGCTCACTACTAGTCTGATTTCTTAGTTTAGTTGTCTTCAGTTTTTAGCTGTTGGATTTTTTAGTTTAACTGTTGAGATTCTGTTGTCCCCGAAGCCAAGGTTTCAAGTCACTGGCTTCAGAAAACCTAATTAGATGCCTTCTGTTTGCTTGTATCAGTCACTAAGGGAAGCTATTTGTCAAGTATGGATTGCTAGCCACAATGAGAATTAAACCACAGGATGCTGTTTTATCATTGTAGCTATACAGGTTATTAAAATAATTCTTACATGTACAGTGCAGCACATGATGTAACAACAAATGACTTTAGAGATAAAGGCACAAATTTAACATTAGCAATGGAATCAGGACTTGAAAATAATCTGCTCTCCCGCACCCTTCAGCAAATTACTTGGTCTCCCTGATTTAGCATTTTTTTTAAATCTAGCAAGTTGATGTACTTATATCCATCTTATATGGTTATTATGAAGATTATATTTGTGAAGTACCCTCTAAAATGGCTGGCATGCAGTTTGCACCAGCTAAATAGTAGCTCTTTTAGTAGTAGAGACTATAGATTATTCCTAGATAGGCCAAAGTGTGGAGTAGTAGATGCCTTCCAGACAAGAAGTCTATAAATGCAAATATTCTCTTGGGAGAGGCAGAGACCTTACTCTACCTGGACTGTATCTTTCATTAAGTAAATAAATCATGGGATTGGAGTGATGACCCACTTACAATTCCAGCTAATCAAGAGGCAGAATTAAGAAGATCAGATTACATATTTATGGGAGGAAAGTTAGCTAGACTCTATCTCAAAAAATAAGTTAAGGGTGGTGTTACATGCCTGTAATCCTAGTTACAGGAAGTGGAGGTGTGGGGAATCATGTATGAAGCCAACTGGTCAAAAGCATGAGAGCATATGAAAACAAATTAAAGCAAAACAGGCTAGAGACATAATTATGAGGCTCTGAGTTCAAAACCCCAGGATCACAAAAAAAAAAAAAAAGAAAATCACTCTGCAGCATTCTGAAACAAACTCCACTGAAAGACTGATTTAAAAAAAAAAAAGCATTATGAATAATGCAAAGCCAATTCAGAATTGCAAGACCTCCTTGAGCCTGGTGATTCCCTCATGTAATCCCTATTTGTGTTCACACTTTACAGTGAAATCCTTACACCTAAAAGGCTCACCGAATAGAGCAGGAAAATCAGCAGAGTTCACTGAGAAAAGGAGAAAGGAAGAAATGGAGAGGAGAGTACAAGGGACTAGAGAGAAGGGAAGTATGAGAGGAAAGGAGAGAGGGGAGGGGAAGGCAGATAGAAAAGAAGAGTAGAGAAGGAAGGGGAATGTTGGTCATGGGGCTTGAACTCTGGGCTTGGGCGCTGTCCCTGTGCTCTTCAGCTCAAGGCTAGCGCTCTACCGCTTGAGCCACAGCGCCACTTCCAGTTTTCTATTGTTTTTTTTATTGGAGTTAAGAGTCTCACCGCCTTTCCTGCCCTGGCTGGCTTTGAACCACGATCCTCTGATCTCAGCCTCCTGAGTAGCTAGGATTACAGGGGTGAGCCACTGCCACCGGGCTAATATTATATTTTTTACTATTACATTTGATTACTCAAGAAATGGCATCCACCCAAATGATAAACAGAAGAGTGGAAGTAAAAGGGCTGCTTCATGCCAGGTCACACCTGGCAGTCAATATGGGAGACACTGGGCTTTGTTTTCTCTTTTTCCTGAAGTCCTAAAATAATTTGAAACCAAAAACTTGGACATGATCTAGATGATATCTGTTTCTCTATCTATACTCATATGGAGTCTGATGTAAATATACTTACACAGGCATAAACACAGACATACACTCATGTATTTGTATCTGCAAATATGGGAAATGGAAGAGTTATAGAGCCAATAGATTTGACATAACACAACAAAAAACTCAGCAGTGATCTTTAGCATACCACCTGGTATAAAGCCACAGAGGCAGACTCCCTGTCCAAGCATTGCCCTGTAGTTTCTATGCCCCTTCAGGCTAACTACTGGGCATTGTCTGTGGTGGAAGAGATAAGTAAATAAGTAGATAGATGCTTTAGTAGATAGATAGTAGATAAGAGATAGGGAGGTTAGATGGATAGACAAGTAATTACATAAAAATAATTGTGTACATTATAGATGGATAGATAGACAAAATAAAGTCTCCTACCACTTAGAATTCTCAGAATGTTAACCAAATAGACCATGGTAAGATTTCTCAGAGCACCTGGTATATAGCACTTTGTTCAATACATATGAAATGTTACTATTGTTTTTGCTGTTAACATTATGTACCCAAAAAAGTAATGTATTAGTAGAAAAAAATGTTGTTCAAAAACACAAACTAAATCAATATAAAATTATAGGAGAACATCTTCAGAGAACTGACACTTCCCAACTTACTACAAAGTTACAATCATCCAGATGTTGTGAAAAGCAAAAGGACTATGAAGGCTCTGGTGAAAGAATAGACAAGTAGATCAATGGAACAGAAAAGAAAGCACAGAAGTAGATGAAGGTAATGTACTTAACTGACCCTTAACGAAGATGCAAAAGCAAGTCAATGGGGAAACCTTTCACCCTTGAAGCAAAAATTAAAATAAAATAAAAGCTAGATGGATCTTTTGTCTTTTGCTAAAAAATAATTCCCAAGTAGATTACAGACCTAAATATATGATTTAAAAAACTATGAAACTCCTATAAGACAGAAAAAAATATCCAGATGATCTTAACCTTTTGAGATAAAAGACTAAATAAACACGATTTATGGGAGGAAAAACTGATTATTGAAACTTCATTGAAATTTAAATCTTCTCTACAAAGGAGGAGAATAAAGTAAGATATCATTAACTAGGAGAAAATACTTAATATAGACATAATAAAATACAAAGTTAATAAAGAGGAATTCTTAAACAACAATATTATTTTGTATGCCAATCCTAGGGCTTGAATTCAGAGTCTGGGTACTGTCCTAGAACTTCTCTTTGCTCAAGGCTAATGCTCTACCGCTTGAGTGAAAGCTCCTTTTTGGTGGTTATAACATTGGAGATAAGAGTCTTGAAGAGACTTTCCTGCCCAGTCTGGCTTTCAACCATGATCCTCAGATTTCAGCCTCCTAAGTAGCTAGGATTACAGCTGTGAGCAACTGGGTGCTTGGCTTCACAAGTATATATATTTTTGTCATGGAAAGAAAAAGGCAAAAGAGATGAGCAGACACCATTCCAAAGATTCCCAGGTGGCAAATAAGCATGTGAAAAGATGCTTGCAATTATATGTTATTAGGAAATTTCAAATAGGAAACCACTGTCTTGATACCACTAGACACAGATTAGAGTGACTCCAATCCAAAACACAGACAACACCAAAAGCTGGCAAGGACATGGAACACCAGGAACTCTCATTCGATTGGCAGGCACATAAAAGGATATAACAACTTTGGAAGACAGAGCCTGCAGTGTTATTCATGATTGCTGAAATTAGAAAGCAACCAGGTCCTCCCAGGGTTAGTAAACCATCATCTATCCATGTAATAAAATAGTATTCAATAATAAAAAATAATCACATGAAATGGAGGAACTGCAAATGCGTATTACTATATGAAAGAAGCCAGTATGGAAAAAGTGTACATAGAGAATGAATGAATGAATATGGCATTCTGGAAAATACAAAACTTGAAAATACTAGAAAAATATCCGTGGTTGCTAGGACTTTGGGAGAAGGATAGAAGACTGAACCAGTGGAATGTAAGATGATGGAGATGCCTCATTATCTACTACTGTCTAGACCAGGAAATACTCAACACAAGACATAAACAATGAGCTCTTTTTTGTTGTTCTTTGTTTTTTGTTTTTGTGCCTATCCAGAGGATTGAACCCAGGGCATGGGCACTGTCCTGAGCTTTTTTGCTTAAGGCTAGTACTCTACCACACTTACAGTTTTTATTTTTTTACATAGTTTATTGGCAATAAGAGTTTCTCAGACTTTGATGCTCAGACTAAACTCAAGTCAACCATAATAGATCAATATTTGATCACCAATTGTACCTAAAGTATCACACTTTTGGAAGAAGGCTAAAGAGACTCTATTGGAGAGGGATATATAGGAGAAACTGTACTTTTCAGCTAGATTTTCTGTAAATATAAGATTACTGTGAAGTGGAAAGTCTATTAATTAAAAAAGAATCATGTACTAAGAAATGGATGTAAAAATGGGTTGCATTTTTAGAAAGCAGGATAAAATGAAAACGGGGTGGAAAGAAAGTGATGAGTAATGAAGCTAAAACAGTAAGGAACTGGAGTAAGATACTGAAGGATATGCCACGAATAGCAAATGGATTTAAATGCAAGACAGATTTTTAAGTTATATGGTCATATTTGTCCTTTAAAAAGATGAAATTTATTTTCTTGAGAACAAATATGGAATGGGGTGAAAAGAGTTTAGAGGAAGTAAGACAAAGTAAGAGGTATTGCAGAGATACAAGTAAGATGTGATAAGTACAAGATTCAGACTAATACCATCCCAACTCTATTCTAACAACCTGAACATTTTCAACTAGAGAAAAAATAGCCCATCTCCATAGTAATGAGAAAAAATATCATCAGAGAAGATTTCATAAAAGTTATGGCTATAGGTAACTATAATTTCCTTTCATTCAATAAACCATGAAAAGCAGATAGATCTTTTTATGATATAAGTAGTTTCAGTTCAAAAGAAATAGAAGAGTGAATTATATAGGCTTTTTAAGATCAAATTCTAAATGGATATAAAACTGATATATACATATATATGGATATATCAATTTGGTCTTATCATCAGCTGTATGTCCTAGTTCCTTTAGAAAATAATTTATTGAATATAGGAGGCCCTTCTTCTGCTCCCTAAAGCAAATCACACAGTTTTCTGTGAGAAACAGCTAACTTCCATATCAACACTACAATTAAAAGCATCTGGGCCTTGTGACTATTAGCATAAGGCTCCGTTGTGAAATTCTGCTTGTTTTCACTGTCCATAGCTTCTTGGTTTGGAGAGTAACATTTTTTCTTAACCAGAAATCATGTGAGTTTATTGTACCAACATTTAAACTATTCCCAAGGCTATGTTGGAAATGCCTTCCTTCAGAAAAAATGTTCACAGTAGATTTTATGAATGACACGCATTCTATATTTCACTGCCAAATTTAGTACCATTCAGTATTCATTTATTTTTAGGTGCTACGTTAACAGATAAACAAGGAAACACAGAAATATAGGCATGTAGTTAGAACCCAGGAGATTATAGCTGATAGAATTTGAGTGTTGGTGGAAAGAAAGAAAATATAGACTTTTGAGCTTATATTTTGGTGGTTAGGTAAGGGGCGATGTCAGTAACCAAAATAAAAAGCAGTTCTGAGTGATGAGTTGCTAATTTAATTTTGGACATGCTAATTTCACGGGAACCTGTGGGAGAAACTTTAAGTAGGGGAGTTGAGGAAGCGGGAAGAAATGAAGGAGAAAGAAGAAAATTAAAAGAAAGGGAGACAATAAAATATCTAATAGTAATCAATACATATGTGGATGTAAAACTGAGGACCGTAGACACTGGTCATAAGAAGAGGAAGAGTCAGTGACTCATTCCTGGAATCCTAGCTATTAAGCAGGCTGAGATCTGAGGCTTGTGGTTTCAGCCAGCCCCAGGAAGTAGAGCATTTGATATTCTGGTGTCCAATAAACTCCCAAAAATTTGGAAGTGGTGCTGTGGCTCAAGTAGTAGAGCACTTAGCTTTGAACAAAATAACTCTGGGCCAGTGCCCAAACCTTGAGTTCAAGCCCCCGGACTGTCAGAAAGGAGGAAGAGGAAGGGGAGGAAAAGAAGATGGTGGTGGTGGTAGTGGTGGTGGTGGTCAAGAAATAGAAACCAATAATTGTACATATAAGAAATCTGAGTAGGAAGCAAGCCATGGAGATGAGTTTCAAGAGGTGAGCCAGGCTGCACATCGAATCCCAAACATGTCCAAGGAAATGAACTTAGAAGGGAAAGCACTGAATTTAGCCCTTTGTAAAAGAGAAGGGTTAGGACAGAAACTCAGTTACCAAATACCACAGAAAGGGCCAAGGCTAAGTGTAGGGACTTCAAGGTGATATACCATGATCACAGAGCAAATGACTTTTACAACAATGGCCATGAGAGTTTGGTAAAAAACCAAGATAATAAACTAATGAGGGTTGGAAAACAGTCTACAGGAAAAGAAGACAATATCGGATCATAGGACCTGGGCAGCAATCCAGGCCACCGACCTTTGCGGCGAGGTGAATTCTCATTAACCTCTATTGATAGGGATGTCTGAGAACTGGAGCTCAGAATTCCAAGTAAAAGAGGAAGATATTGAGTACTATCTCTGTATGCCGCTTCTTTTTGGTTATCCTGTATTGCAATGGAGAAGAGAAGTTCTTGATTTCCCCAAGTGAATTCTCCACCAAATCTGCTCATAGCCTCTCCCCCTCCTTCCTCCTCCCCCCCGCAAAACTGAACTGGCAACAGCTGCTGTGTAGCATGTGGGAAGATCGCCTTCTCCCAGAGTTAAATAGAAACTTGCAAAGAAAAAGGAACAGTCTCTAAGGAACTGTGTGTATGGGGGTGTGGCAGGGAGCAGGTGTATGCCGCGCTCTTCCTTTAAGAAAAATAAAATAAAGTATCCCTGGGGCGGTATGATGAAGATCATGAAACCAAGGCGTCTGTCCCAGCGCCATCTTCCCCCTAATAGCGTTACCTGCATCCTTCCGTTGCATTCTTGGCCCTGGCCTCAAGGGCCATGCTGTTTGTTTTTTTTTTACACTTTAGTTTTCACACTTGTGTGCTTGAACCCATTGCTTTTTCTCCCGTCCCCAACGCGGCTGCTTTCTTGCTTTCATTTGTTTCCTCGTGTCATCACCAGGACAATATCGAGATGTGGAAGCGCCTGGCGCTGCCCGGAGTGACACAGGACACCATGCAAGTTTACAAGGACTTGTAAAAGTCCTTGTCCGACAGCTGTCTCCTCGCAGCTGCGCCAGACCTTGGAGACGCTAAGCCTTGGAGACGCGCACACCTCGACAGCACCTTGGAGCCTCGGACCCCAGCAGCAGCCCAGGCCTTCGCGGCCACAGTCAGGTCCAATCTGAGCTGCTGCACACAAGCAACCATATCACACCGAGTGAACGTTATACACACACACACACACACACACACACACACACACACAGTACAAGCCAGGCACCAAGCTGGGTGTGGACCCGAGGAGCTCCGCGCGCAATGCACACACATACAGCTCGCACCCCCAGGGAGCGCCCCCCCCTCCCGATCCTGTCCCTCCCCTCGCACCCTGGGTCCCCCAATTCCCTCCTCCCGCCGACCTCACCAGCCAGCCGGGTAACTTTCTAGGTGCGCAGCTTGTCACCTCCGTGCGGCCACCCCAACGTCTCGATGTCCTTCTCCCACGCCGCCCTCCCTCCCCGGCTGCTGGTGGCGCGCTGAGCCCCACGGGGTCCGCTGGGCCAGCCCGGGCCGTGCGCACCGTGCGCGGCGAGGAGGGCCCCAGGCTGCGGGCGCTGCGTGTGAGCCGGGGACGCGGCGAGCGAGCGCGCTGCGGGCAGGAGCTGCTGGCGAGTGGGTGCTGCCGCCTTACTCCTCCACCCGCCGGTGCCGCCGAGGAGGCGCGCAGGAAGGGAGGAGGTGGGAAGGAGGGAAGTGGGGAAGGGGGGGGAGAGGAGGGACAGAAGAGTGGCGATGGAGGGGTGAGGTCAGCGGGGCTATTACACGGAAGAGCCAGCAGCTTCCCTAAAGGTGGGGTCACTGGCGCGCGCACCTACAGCAGCCCAAACCTTTACTCCTGACACACACCACACACCGGTGGGCCAGAGCCAGCCGCGGTGTAGTTGACCCCCGCCCACCCTCCAGAGACGGGGAACTTCAGTAAAGCCATCCCACCGTCCTTCTAAGGGCCTTTATTCTTCCAAATGTGATGAGAATTCTTATTTCAAACGTGTGGGACGGTGGGGGGGGGGGGGTGGAGGGGAGGAGGTTTATCTTCCCTTTCCTCCCTCTCCCCCATTTCTCCATAACCTCAGTCCCTCTAGCCTGTTTCAACTACAGCTTCTCCCACCTCCTTTCCCAGAGTGCAGACAGGCACATGCATTCCTGTCACAGCATTGCCCTTCTGGGAGAGACATGTGACCTCGAAGCTTCTTGGGGACATGCTCTTTGCTCTTAGCTCTCCCTGGACTCTGGAGCTATAACTTAACATCTAGTTTGCCAATGCAAGAGTTTCAAGGGACAGAGGTTATATCTCCCCCAGTGCATGGAGAGTTGAGTTTTTTTTTTTTTTTTGATCACTCGTGCAGGTAATTTAATGCTCTCTTGTTTCCTTTTGACTACGTGTTTTCTTCTAGAGGCATGAATTAGGATATATATATATATATATATCCACCACATTATTAACTGTGCTTTCTGGATTTGTGAGATCTTGGTGTGGCGTCTCTGCTTTCCTCCTCCCCATGGAGGAACTTCTCTGGCAAATCCAGCAAGGACAAGGGCAGTTTCTGTGTGAAGGACGAAGAAGTACAGTGAAGGCCTGTTCTTCACTGTGTATGTATCCAGAGAAATATTAGAACCCCACTCCCTTAGGGGTTTCAACCACAGAATAGCAAGCTGGCTCCTGGAACAGCAGCATATGCCATTGCATGCATACATGCATAGAATGAGGCCCGTGTAAATGTGCTCAAAGGAGCCATTAAGTTTCAGAGGGGGAAGAATATAGTCCTGTTTGCTTTTGTGTAAGACTGGAGGGAAAAAAATATGCTTAAGTACTTTTTTCCATGAGCTTAAGCCTACACTTGTACGTTTCATGCTGACCTCCAGTACAGCCTAACTGCAGGTGATGGGGGGGGGGGGGGGGATGTGCAAACAGAATTCCACAGGAAAAGGGAAAAGAATTAAATCATTGCTAAATTGCTGTAATACATGGGCCGAGTTTTTTTTTTAATTTAATTTTATTTTATTTGTAAACATACTGTACAGAGGGGTTACAATTACATGGGCAGGATAATGCGTACATTTCTTACCAAGCATTGCAGCCTCCTCCTTTGGTTTACCCTTCACATCCCTTCCCAGCCTCCCCCCTCCCCCCAATCCCAATCCTTCTCCTTCCCCCCTTCCCCCCCCCCCCCCCCCCCCCCCCCCGCACCGACGTTGTAAAGCTCGTTTTGGACATGACAACTTGTACTTCTCATTGTTGCAACAGGTCCACCTGTATCCTTAAACAACTGGTTTTTCCCCATCTCCTCCACAAGTTATACTGACATCAAATATAGTGAAAGCAGGGGCTATACTGTGGGGGAGGGACATACAAAGCAACAAAGAGATAATCTTATAAATGCGTTAGAAACACATGCATGAAAGAAAAAAACATTAAAATACATATCTAAGGGTTCATTTTCCTGACATCACATTATCTGACCTTTTGCGCTTGACTCATACATATACTAGATATTGCAAATAAGGGAAACCATGGGACCTATGTTTCTTTGGGCCTGGCTTACTTCACTTAATATAATTTGTTCCAAGTCTTTCCATTTCCTAACAAATGGGGCAATGTCATTCTTTCTGATGGAGGCATAGAATTCCATTGTGTATATATACCACATTTTCTTGATCCATTCATCTACTGAGGGGCATCTGGGTTGGTTCCATATCTTAGCTATGGTAAATAATGCTGCAATAAACATTGTTGTGCTGGTAGCTTTAGTGTGGACTTGTTTGTAAACATTTGGGTAAATGCCCAAAAGTGGGATTGCTGGGTCAAGAATTTGACAACAAAATGGAGGAAAGTGGAGAATTTTCAAAGTCCTTACAGTTTAGGTTGTTTTGAACTGTGGCTTGATAACTAAAGGGTGATAATCTTGACTTATTGTGTCAAAACAATTTTTTAATGTCAGAGTAGAATAAAATAGTAGAGTTGTTGCACATAGGAAGAGTAAGACTGTTTTATAAATCTTTTGTTGCTGTTAAATTCAGATATGTTCGCCCTAGGTCACATACGTTACATATACTTTCTTCTTGCTCACTGAGGTAAAAGCTTAAAAGCCACTGATGGGGGACAGGCTATTACCTAGAGTCAGAATTTGAGAGACAACTTCAGCTCTCTCCTAGCAATCTTGAATTATGAGCTCAACCATGCTGAACAGGGAAGAAGAGCAGGAGGGGGAAGGGAGAGGGCCTGGAAGCTTCATGACCATTACTGAATCCTTTATTCAGTCTTTTAACAGAGGGCCTTCCACAGCTCCTCCAACTTAAGGCCAGTGCAAAAACCAGGAATTCAAGAAGAAGAAGAAAAAAAAAACCTTGTCATCTCTTAATTTAGAGGCTACAATCCAAATGGAAAAGCAGACATTAAAAACACAGAATAATGCCATTCATGATGAATACTATGAAGGCAAATATGAGAGAAGAAAACATGGGGTCATCATCAAAGACTACTGTTAATAATTACCTCTATTGAAAATGTCTGAAATGATAAGGAATTTACTGTTTCATATGGCCAAAAAGTCCGAAGGTCAGAAGGTGCAAGCTGGTAGATTCAGCAGCTCAGCAATATCAGGAAGGGCTCTGGACTATTCCCACTATTTCCAGCCACCCCCAGAAAGCCAGCTATAAACTAGAAGCTGCTCTGTCCATGGTTTCAGAATAGTTGGAACAGCTCCAATTAAGCAATCCTGCACATTCCCAAGGTTAGCAGAGTGTCTCTTTTCAAGGGTGGGTAAGTCCTCTGAAGTTTCTCGTGAGCGTTTTTTGTCTGTCAATAGTCAAAACCAAGTCACACACGCTCATCCCTAAATGCTGGGAGTGGGGAAGATTGTCATGATAGGTTGGCTAGTACTCTTCAAGAACTGCTCATGAGATCTTCAGGAATGTCTTCTTTGAAAAACAAATACCTGAACAAAAGAAAGAAGGTGGCAGTGGATGTTGGGTAGGAAATTTAGTCTGTTTCAGAGGTTCAGAACACCTTTCCTAGGAAAATATGGCATTTAACCTGAGCTGAGTGAGAGTCAGACAGGAAGTAAAGACATCTCAGCAGAGGGGATGTTGCACACATGAGAGAAAGTTGTGCCACATGATAAAGGCTGATTTCCACTTCTCATTTACCATTTGTTTGCCAATAATAGAGGCAAGTGAACCTCAGGCAGCAAGCCCAACGCCTTATATAACATGATGCAGTTTTCAATAGTAATAAGTTGCAGAGCTAAACTAAGTCATTCCAGAGCCTAAAAGCTTGACTGTTTCTGCCCTCAAGAGACATTGAAGTCATAATCTACTTTGTTTATTTTTAACTGAGGACTACAGCCACCCTCAGTCTTCCAGCTAGAGATTCAAGCACCCTCTACAGTGTTTCTGTAAGCCACTGGATCCAGAAGGCATATATTCATCAGTAAGCCTCCAATTGGATATACTCTCTACTGTGTGTCTTGGCATCTTATGAAACCTTGTTATCAAAGACCTAGCATCCTCATGATGCCAAAGTTCAGAAGTAGTTTACAGAGATGAGGAAGATAAATGGCCCATCTTCTCTTTAGTTTATATACAATTAAAAAAGTATCCAGGGTGCTGGGAAGGTGGCTCAGTGGTAGAGCGCTTGCCTTGTATGCCTGAGGCCCTGGGTTCGATTCCTCAGCACCACATAAGCAAAAAGAATAAAATCCGGAAGTGGTGCTGTGGCTCAAGTGGTAGAGCGCTAGCCTTGAGCTGAAGAGCTGAGGGACAGCACCCAGGCCCAGAGTTCAGGCCCCTCCTGGACCCTCCTCCCTCCCCCCCAAAAAAAGTATCCAGGCAGCTCCATGTACTACAGAAAATCTGTCTTGATGACTTGTGTGTGTGTGTGTGTGTGTGTGTGTGTGTGTGTGTGTGTGTGTTGGGCCTGGGGCTTGATCTCAGCGCCTGGGTGCTGTCCTGAGCTTTTGTGATCAAGGCTAGAGCTCTACCACTTGAGCCACTTTTGGCTCCACTTTTGGCTTTTTGGTGATTAATTGGAGATACAGTCTCTCACACTTTCCTGCTGACTTTGAACTGTGATCCTTCGATGTCAGCCTCTTAAGTAGTTGGCTTTACAGGCAGGAGTCACTGGCAATTAACTTGCCTACTTTTCTTTTATTCCTAAAAAATCTGCCTCGATGAGGCTGACCTGGAGACAGAATCTAATAGGGCTTCCATGCTAACTCAACCCTTAGAAGCCCCAAGATTGCCAATTCCCATTCAAGCTCATTCAATGTCAATTCTATTTTTGTGGGGTGACTTTATGCACAGGAGATTAGAGAACCATTGCATACAACCAGCTCTCATCAGACCAACCACAGACACACAGAAAGTGAAATGTAGCTCCTAGATCTGCAGGCTCAAGGCGAGTTTCCTTCTAGGTTTGAGCAGCTTTCATAGGACTT